GTCCAGAAGACCTATACAATTTTTTTTCTTTTTGATTTTTTACCTGGATTACTGAGATGCATCAGGACAAAGAGTTGTAAGCTTTTATACAAATGTTTAACATTTATTACAGACGATATATTTATGAAATATATTTTAGTTATACCTACATATGATTGACTGCTGTAAGCATTCACGTGCTTCTTAAGCTTGTTGAAATAAAGCTAAATTATCACAGATAAACTGCAAGTAAACATGTCAGAAACAGTTCAGTCAAAAACATGGTGAAAGAAGAACTTCTTTTCTACGTCAAACTAAAATATCAGCGCTAAATGCACCCGGGGACTGATGAAACACAATAATTGGACGGGAGTCTGAAAAAAACGATGCGTGCTTCAGAACGTACACCTGCAGAACGATAGCATCACCAGTGAGGTGAGATTTGTCACACACCTGCCTAAAGCCTGTGTCTCTGTGTATGTTGTGTTTGTTGTTTGTTAGCAAAATATCCCATGAACCAATGGACACTTTTTAATGAAACTCAGAAATTATTGGATGTACAGATAGTTAAAGTTTAGAGTCAGCCCCATTCAAGATGGCCACCACAACTAATCATCTTTAGCAGAAAAATGTCTGTTCTGTTGGTTTTACAGATGTTGAGACTGTATTTGTAGTAGTAGCTGAGAGTTATTTTCAAACAGCTACTGCTCAGTCTCAGATCAGGACGATTGTAGTTTCAAACTTGGTGGTGGACGGTGACAGGTGGTGCGCATTTCTGCTACTGTTTAATCTCCTCCAGAGAATTGCCCTCACTGGCCAAGAACTACGTGATGCGGATGCTGTTCCTGGATCATCCTCTGCCCCAGGCTGGCGTGGCGCTGTGGGTGAGAAAAGACAGCCAGAGGTGAGCTGCACACCTTCTTATCACGACTACACCTCCTTCATTGCTGCAGTGGGCTCATTTCAAGTAGGTTCTATAGAACAGCTGGAGCACAGAAACCAGGTGACCGTGTGATCGGCTGGTGAAGCTAACGGCTAACGCTAAACAGGCAAGACTCTGGATTTCCCATTACTGTACATGTTGACAACAGAGCAGAAAAAAAGGACTGACATGTAGAAATCATTAAAACTATTAATAATAATATTAATCCAATAATTATTAATATTTTACAGTTTATATAATCTATCTACTGTTTTAAATAATGCCAGAAAAGCTGTTTGTGTTATGGATTTATTAACAGAAGATAAACAGGAAAATGTCTCATTTTACAACAAGTCAGCAGATTCAATGTGATCTGAGCAGAACATAATGTAACAGTTTAAAATTAAAATAATCTTATAAAGTCCATGTAATCACTGTTATTTATTGAACTGGTTAGCAGATATTAGCTTGTGGAGCTTATATACAGAGTTTAGCTCTGTTGAATCATGTTACAATTTAACACAAACTATTAAATATTACTTTGTCCTCTGATTAATATTTAGACCTACAGAGTGTAAAATAATATTATAAATGTCTGATTAATATTTAGACCTACAGAGTGTAAAATAATATT